GTGCGGATTCATGTGCGGATATCCAACGGGTCGGATGAAATTGCCATCTCTAATCCTTAGTTCCCAAGTGGCATTTTTGTATCTCGAGCTACCCACTTTATTAAAGTTTATTGAATAATACTTAAGGTCGGCTGAGCAATTTTTTGGGCACCAGGCTCCTAACCGCTCTGACAGCCTTATGTGCAATCGGAACAATGAAAATGTCATGCGTGTGAACATGACGTTGCAATAACAATCAAATACTTCTCATTGAATGAGTTTGGGGAGATAAGTGATAAAAAAGATGATGAAATAATGAAGAACAGAGAGAGTAAAAGAAGGATTCTATTTTTCTTAGATAAATCTTTGGTCTTACAAGTGGTTTAAATACACAAAATAGAGAAGGATTAAACAAAGAATAAACTAGAGGCAAGTGGCTTGATGTGACAGAATTAGGCTCCAAGAGTTCAAATTAAAATACACTCTCTTGTCTCTAATAGACATGTGGATGAGTTGGCAATTGACCCTTCTACAAGTATCCATGTTTCTTCTTCTCAATACTCCCCCTCAAGCTTGAGCATAAGGTATGGTCACGCTTGAAAAGCCATGAACACATCCCTCATTAAAACCTAAGTGTGAAAAACACAATGAGAAAAAACACATTCAAGGAAAAAGAGTATATGCTTCATGGGTGAGATGATCATGATCTGGACAAGTCTATGAGTCCCAACCTTGGATGGTTGTACTCACAAACCTTTGTGTTTGCTCCCTTGGTGAAGATGTCAGCTAGTTGTCTTCACTTCTTATGTAAGATGGTCTGTTGCTTGTCTAACCTTATGACAATCCACCTCAATATGCTTGGTCCTCCGTGGAATACTATGTTAGACGCAATGTGAATAGCGGTTTGACTAACACAATACATGGGGATTGGTGATGTAATCTTTATGCCCAAATCCAGTAGCAGGTTCTTGATCTAAATGAGTTCATTAGTCAGTTTTCTCATTGCTTTATATTCTACCTCAGCGCTTGAACATGACACCACTTTTTGCTTCTTGCTCTTCCAAGTGACTAGGTTGCCTCCAATGAATGTGCAATAGCCTGTTAGAGACCTCCTATCCACTCTATCACCATCCCAATCAGCGTCACAGTACCCCGCAATCTCAGTGCTTCCATTATGACCCATTCAAACACCTTGACTCGGAGCCTCTCTTAAGTACATCATGATCCTTTCCACCATATTCCAATGATGAACCTTTGGAGCTTGCATTTGTTGACTCACTTGATTCACTGCAAACCAGATGTCTAATCTTGTAATGGTCAAGTAGATTAGTTTCCCAACCATTCTCCTATATAACTTAACATCTTCAACTAGCTCATCTTCCAACTCCCCCTCACGCAATACTTTGTAACCATCTTCAAGAGGGGTTTTGGTTAATCGTCCTCCAAGGGTTCCTGCCTCACTCAACAAATCAAGAGTGTACTTCCTTTTAAATAAGAACAACCCCTCTTTATAGCGGCACATCTCAATTCCTAAGAAGCACTTTATCTCACTTTCTGTGATGATGATATCATCAACATACACAAGAATGACTATTATACCTTGCTGGATGAGGAGAGTGAAGAGTGCGTGGTCAGCTTCTGGTCTTCTGAACCCTCTTCCATTCAAGGTTGTGCTCACCTTGTGATACCAAGCTCCAGGTGATTATTTCAATCCATAAATGGCCTTATTCGGTCTCAACACATTCAATGACTTGACTAGATGCTCTAAACCAGAAGGTGGACACATATAGACTTCATCCTCTAATTCTCTTTGAAGAAAAGCATTCTTCACATCCATTTGCCACAACTCCCAATCCAAGTTAGTAGTGAGAGAACTATCCTTATGGCGTGAAGCTTTGCTAATGGTGCAAAGGTGTCAACATAATCTTCTACATATGTTTGAGTGAATACCCTTGCATCCAGACTTGTCTTGTGCCTCTCCATCTTTCCATTTGCCAAATATTTAATGGTGAAAATCCACCTGCTTGTCATTGTCTTCTTGCATTTAGCTAGCTCAGCCTCATACCAAGTATCATTGTCCATCATGGCATTAGTTTCCTTTCCCACTGATTTTCTCCATTGTTCATGCTCCATTGCCTCTTCATAAGATCTTGTGATATATAGAATGTGTAGATAATATTAGGATGGATAGGAGGGCATTTTACGTGTTGTGTAATATGGTTGAAACCACTGGTATGTTGCGATCAACAAAGAATTCATCCGTTGAGGAAATTTGTGTGTAGCGGTGAAACAATAAGCAAAGACTTCAATAGTGCCTTGCTTGCTATCTTCAGATTGCATGAAGTGTTGCTTAAGAAGCTTGTACCAATGCCTCAAAATTTCAAAGAACATCCTTGGAAATGGTTTAAGGTAATGATTTCTACATATTTACTTGAAACTTACTACAAATTAAACAATGTTTAAATAAGGTAATTACTAACAAAAGACTGTTATTTGATTTAAATATGTAGAATTGGTTGGGAGCACTAAACGGAACTTATATTAAGATAAATGTCCTCGAGCAAGAAAAGCCTAAATACAGGACATGGAAAGGCGATTTGGCCACAAATGTACTTGGAATTTGTTCTCGGGATTTACATTTTATTTACATATTGTATGGGTGGGAAGGTTGTGTTGTGGACGCAAGGATATTAAGAAGTGAAATTTCAAGGCCAAATGGCTTTGTAGTTCCTCAAGGTACTAATGGTAGTGGAGGAATAAATTGTGCTTTAAATATCTTACATTTTCAAATTCAAATAAATTTTGACTGATAAATTCTAACCATAAATTATTAATATAGGTTGTCACTATCTATGTGATGCCAGTGATGGTTTTTTAGCTCCTTATAGAGCCCAACACTATCATTTAAAAGAATGGAGTCAACAAAATTATCCTAAAACAAAAAGAATAAATTTTTAATTACAAGCATTCATCTGCATGTAATGTCACTGAGAGATCGTTCGAGCTATTAAAATGAAATGGGCAATTCTTCGTAGTAGATCTTGGTGCCCTGTCAAGACACATTGTAGAGTTATAATCGCTTGTGCGATACTTCACAATCATATAAGAAGGGAGATGCAAAAGGATCCAATAGAGGATAAGGTGACGAGAATTATGTTGATTCTGACCCATTTCAGAATGCTCCAAGCATACAAGATAGTGAGCAATTTGTAGCTTGGACTGCACTTAGGGATAACTTAGCACAAGAAATATGGAATGAGCGCCGGGTTAATAGGAATTAAGATTCATATTACTAGTTTTATTTGTTTTTATCGGTTACCTTTCATTTGGTTAAATTACTCTATCATTAGTTATTGAGGTTTGTCTCGAATTAATTAATCAAGGTTGGAAAGCTGAAAATAGATTCAAAACGGGTTTTTATCAACAGGTGCAGAAGTGGATGGCAACAAAGATACCTAGTTGTCATATTTTGGGAGATCCAAATATCAAAACTAGATTAAGGACTTTAAAGGCACAATATACAGAATTTTCTATGATGGGGGGTGCCCCAGGTTTTGGCTGGAATGAGGAAACCAAAATGGTGAATTGTGATGATGAAGTTTGGGCTTCTTGGGTTAAGGTATTATGTTTGTATTCAAAATATTATACGTGCTAAATATACTTGGACCTTATTCGTGACTTTCTTTTTTTAATCAATATTGTGATTGTAGGGCCATAGAGAACCAGTCCTTCTTAGATACAAGGCATTCCCTTATTTTGACGAGCTGAAATGGTGATTAGTTTAGGAAAAGAAAATGCACCTCAGAAAGAAGCTCATGTGCAAAAACGTGTTATTCAGGATGATTTTTTTGGTGTATTTGTGGATCTCGATACTATGAATGATGATATTTTTCGCCGTCTGATATCAACAAAAATAAGAAGTGGAATCATGGTATTTCAATCAAGGAGGAATTTGAGGCACCATCAAAAAGATTGAAGAAGAATGAGTTTAATAAACATCCTGAAGTATTACAACAAAAGATAGAACCAGTTCTGCAAATGTGTGCTACATCAAACAAGCAGTTTGAGAAAGTGACAACATTTTTTGATCATTTTAATGTTGTTGATGATGTTAAGCCCACATATACTGCATGTGATAATGAATCTGTCAGGTTTAAGCAAGGATCAGACGATTCGTGCATTTGGAATTATATCATCTAGCAAAGGAAAAACAAATTCTTTCTTACTCATGCTAGATGAAGAGGCAAAATTGATTTATGTTACAGAGATCTTCAATGAAAAAATCTAATTAGTAGTATTTTCTAATGGTAATTTAGTGATTTCTATGAATTTTTATTGTGTAGCTTTTTTTAGAAGAATATTGAATTTTTATTTAGTAGTTATGAAATTGCTTGCTAAAGTCTTGTCCTTTTATCCTTGGAAATAAAGTACTCATTATTCCATGTTGGATCTAATCTCTACCTCAGCTCGTTTTTAAATTTTTATAAACTACCTATTTCACCATGTTGATTGAGAATATCAGTAGAAAAGATTGCAGAACTTGATATCTTAATACATTAGGCTAAATTTTAATACATCAGTCCGATTGAGAATATAAGTACAAAAGCTGATTGTACGCAACTAGCTATCTGCTGCACACGTATGGATTTACATAGGCTATATGGTCAGCTTGTAAATACATACTCCCTCCGTCCATATTGAACTCCGGTTTTGACCGGGCACGGGTTTTAAGAGGGATTTGTGTGGTGGAGAGTTATGCAGAGGAGAGAGAAATGTGTAAGAATGGTTGTGAACCACATATTCTTTACCAAAAAGGAAAAAAGAAACAAACATTGTAAAGTGTTTGCGTGTAATTTAAAAATAGATTACATAGATAGCGTACTTTTATTTTACCCGTAAACTAATTGTAGCCTAACACTTTACGTGCAATCATTTTGGATGTAAAGTTTTAATGTAAAATTTGAATAAGAAAAAAGATATAAAGTTTTTTTGTTTGGATCTTAAGAGTGGCCTCTCACAATCACACTTCCAACCCATTTCGTCCTCTTGCAGCGCACTACACACTTCACTTCACTTCAGATGTGTCACTTTGGAATATACGTACAAGTATTTTATTTTCTATTTATATTCCATTTTTTAAACTTTTTCAATCAAACAACAGCATTATTCAATTCTATTCTCTAATCATAAAGTATTGATATCCGCAGTTCCGCAATCAAAAAAGAGTTGTATGAAATAAATATAAAATAAAATTTTAACTATAACATTTATCGATCCATCTTCTTCCGATTCAATGGCGAGTTCTGATTGTTCGTCCACTCGCATCACTCTCCAAACCATCAATCCCAATGTAAAGCGAAACAACCCTTCTTCCGCTTATTGAAATCTTTTATAATCGTTAAAACTATTTCATATTTCGGCAGTAAGAGTAATCTTCATGTATTTCTTTATTTCAAATTTGCATGATTTTGTCTAATTGATAATTACGGGTGCTCAAATTACTCCAATTTGCTTAAAAGATTGACTACCCTCTGGGGCTTTGGATATGGAGTGGTCTGGAAACCTCTACTACTCCGTATACAAATTTGAGATGCATTGGTTGCTGTTACTTTTTCAGGTTTTGAAATTTGAGTATGCGGTTCGTGGGGAAATTTCCGACCTTGCTCAGGTTATTATATTTTTTTATATATAATTTAACTACTAATAGCTATACCAGTCTTATACTCTTATTCATCATTGACATGTATGTATAAATACTTCCTTCATAAGAAGTTGCTACTTGCTAGTTTCTGAATGAAATGTAGCTTAGTCCTTTCAGTTAAGTTTTTTTGTCATGTATTTTATACGGAGTACTAAGTTATAGCCCCTGTTTGAAAAACCGGACCGGAGTCTACAGTTATACACCCAAATGACCGGGTCATGGGTCAACCAGTCAGTGCCGGATCAGTAAGTCAATGCCAATAAGAATAAATGTGTGCGTGTTTGTGGGTGTGGTTGGGGGTGTGTCAGTATATGCATCAATTTAAAGAAAAATAAATGTTGATCTTAGTCATCAAATAATGATAGTACTTAATAAGCATTTGAAACACACATGACACTCCAAAATATAGTTAGTCATTTTAGGACCAATAATAGTATCTAGTTATTTGGCTTTAGCATCATTGAAACAATTCTGACATGATTGTCTTTCTAGAATGAATCAGTGAAAAATATCGCATACTACTATGTTTTTTACTATGTATCTTTTATGAATTAGGATTGGAATTTTATTAGGTCAAAGAGGTTGAAAAAAATCATTGATTACTCTATTTTACCTGTCCAGACTGGGGTTTGCCAGGTCAGCCGGGGTTCATGCTTTTCAGTTTATTCCAGTTTTTGCAATGCCAACCTGGTTTGGTGACCGGGTCATGAGTTTCCTAACTGGTCCTGTATTCGAAACATAACTTTGCTGGTTTAATGCATCTAAATTTGCAGTATTATTAATTTCATGCCACCTTTAATTTTTTGGATGCTTTTAATTGGACTGAAAATTTATGGTCTAGTCTATGTGTAATTTATAATTGTTAATGTCTGGTCTGGGACTGAATTCGGTCCAAGTAAAATCATCCTTAATACGCCGTATGTTTTAAATTTGAGATGCCTTTGTAATGATGTTTGGCAGAAACTACAAGAAGAGTTAGAAGCAAAACCAGGTTCATATCCATTTGATGAGGTACATACTGACTCTTTCAACCAAAGCTTTAAAGATGTAACACATCCTTGATTATCTTTCAAACGTATTTGTTTGCATACATGGAAATATTTCTTCAAGTTGAAGGGTCTTACAGTATACCTGATGTATTCCCATGTCTTATGCATTCATCTCTATGCTGATATTTCTGCAGATACTTTATTGCAATATCGGAAATCCACAATCATTTGGTCAGCCGCCAATTACTTTCATTAGGGAGGTAATCACAAATTAAAGAATTTTATGCTGCAAGAAAAGAAAGAAGTGCAAATATTTCCTTCTTCACAGTCCTTGATGATATATACAGTAGGATTTGATTATGATGTTAGGTGCTTGCATTATGTGATCGTCCTCCAATGTTGGACATGAGAGAGGCTCAAGGCTTGTTCAGGTGTGAGATCTAGCTTCTTTGTTTTGATCAAGCAGGAAAAAAATGTGTTTAAGTTCTTCTAGAGAAATAAAAGCCTCGTTTTGTTTGAGCATTGAATTAAAAATAAATTGTTTTTTTTCTTGCATTATGTAGTGTGGACTCCAAAAATAGGGCTTTACAAATCCTTGACCAAATTCCAGGAAGAGCAACTGGTGTTTACAGCCATGCTCAGGTGTCTTTTCTTCCTTATCTAAGATAATTATTCTTATTTTCAGTTCTGTTTTTATCATCTTATTAAGTATTAACTACTATATAGGGTATCAAAGGATTGCGTGATACAATTGCATCTGGTTTAGAAGCTCGTGATGGTTTCCCTGCTAATCCAAATGACCTTTTCTTAACCGATGGTGCAAGCACAGGGGTAGTTATTTAAATTGATCTCCTAGTTAGTTCTCCCTCCACCTCTTTAAAAACATCCTAGTTTGACTTTCAAGGATTTTATGGGTAATCAGGGTTTTTTACATCCTGAAATGCATTTTGTTAGAGGGGTAAATATTACTCCCTTTGTCTCTCTAAGATTGTCTCATCTTTCCTTTTTCGGTCCGTCCTACTAAGATTGTCTCGTACCAAATTGGGTAAAATTTGTCAATTCAATATCAACCACATAAACCCAATTTTCTTAATAACCGTGTCACCTCCTCATGTCCCAATGTTAGTGGGATGGAGGTGGTACTATACAGTGGACTGTTTTTACAATGTACAGCTACTGTTTACAATATACTGTTTACAACTTACACTATGAAATTTAACATTTCATCCAGGTTCACATGATGATGCATTTGTTGATTAGTTCTGAGAAAGATGGAATTCTCTGTCCCATCCCTCAGTATCCACTTTACTCCGCCCTAATCGCTCTCTATGGTGGGACCCTCGTATGTTTATGCTTAACCTCCACCTTGCCTGACTATCGGGAGATGCTTCATTTTCAGTTTAAGTTTTTTTTGCGTGCATGGATTGATGTTCTATGATGATATTTGTAGGTTCCTTATTATCTTGATGAGGCTCATGGATGGAGAGTTGATATATCTGAGCTTAAGAAACAGCTACAAACTGCCACCTCCAGTGGAATTAATGTCAAGGCATTGGTTGTGATCAATCCTGGCAATCCTACAGGGCAGGTAGGCGATCCGGAAACATAGAGCGGAGCATATCCATCTTCTCACTATCCATAAGAAATAAATGATAGTGGGTTCCTTGTACAATTGTTTATCTGCTCCCAATATAAGGAGCTAAATCTTTCCTTATACTTACATGCAGGTTCTTGCTGAGGCTGACCAAAAGGAAATTGTACATTTCTGCAAGGAAGAAGCTCTTCTGCTTCTGGCTGATGAGGTGCATACATTTCACTCTATTTGCTGGCTATTATTATTATTATTACTATTATTATTGTTATTATTATTATTATTATTATTCCTGTATCTGAATCTCTGTATGGTCTGTTCGGTAATCAGAATTGCTTGGATAATAAAATACTGGGGGAAGGGAACTTTGGGGAAAAATGTGGTGGAACCTTAATTTCGATTAATTGCTTTTCTTATTTGTTCAATTTTATTTTAACTTATATTTCTATTATACTCCCTCCGGTCCCAAAAGAAGTTCACTCACGGTTTACGATGCTTGACTGACGATAAAGCAGCTCGATCCCTGTTCACGCTCGGATTATTTTTAGTAAATAAAAATTACATATTCAGAAACTACATTAAAACCGCTACAAAGTCTGATCAAGAAAATTTAAATTTGATAAAAATTTGATATATAAAGTAAAAGATTTAGAGTGATTTAACTTGACTAATGAATAGTGAGTGTGAATTTGTTTTGGGACCGGAGGTAGTATAAGGCTAAGAAACTAAAACATTAGTAAAATTCACAAACACATAAATTATACCTCATGTTCCTTCGTTTTTTCAATGGTGAAGCAATGTACAAGAAACATTCTTCCTTGGCAATGTTTCCCTTTCCGTAGCTTTTTCTTGGATCTGAACATACCTTTCGGGTTTTGCTTTATACCTACTGAGTAACTGGTAAAGTCAATGTCTAGGTATATCAAGACAATGTCTATGCAGACGACAAACCATTCCATTCATTCAAAAAAGTTGCCCGCTCTATGGGTTATGGAGAAAACGATATTTCTTTGGTATCTTTTCACTCCGTGTCTAAAGGTACATACATCATTTCCGACTTTTTCATGGTTTTATTAGTAACTACATACTCCGTGTGTGTGTGATGAAATGAGAAGAGACTCGATGTAAAACAAATGAGAATGAATTTGATGCATTGGATTTGAGATCTAATGATTCCTAGAAGTGCCAATAATGCTCGAGTTTAAAAGCACGGTAGCAAACTCAGAATCTAAAGTGCAGCGTAGAGAACTAAAAGTTAAGGCTTCTCATTTCTGGTGTTAAGCTCTCTACTCGAGGAACCACATCTTTTGTGTGTGTTGTGACATCTTTGTTCATGCACACATTCCATGTTCTTTTACTTGTTTATAGGGTTCTATGGAGAATGTGGAAAGCGAGGAGGTTACATAGAAGTGACTGGCTTTAGCCCCCAGATAAGGGAACAACTATACAAAGTTGCAACTGTTCATCATTGTGCCAACATTTCTGGCCAGATTCTTGCCAGCATTATTATGAGTCCCCCTAAGTTGAGTGTATTTTTTTGTTTTTGATATCATTTGCTGTTTATTTGTTGGACAAAATGTATCATCAGCATATTGAATCTAAATATATATACAGTTGGGAGATGAATCATATGAGTCGTTTTGTGCTGAGAAAGACACAATCCTCTCATCCTTGGCAAGGCGTGCAAAGGTTCATTCTGTCTTGTTTACCAACTTCCCATCCATTTTTAGTGATTTCTCAATTCATAGCTATTATGTAAAATTGTTTTGAAGAAGCAGCTGCCCCGGTTTATTCCCTCAGTGGCAAAGATACATAGCATGTATATGATTTCACCCAAGATAACGTTTAATGAGAGTTATGACTTTTGATTTGTGAGGAACTTGCAGACACTTGAAGAAGCATTCAATAGTATGGAAGGAGTGACATGCAACAAAGCAGAAGGAGCAATGTATCTTTTCCCTCAAATTCGTCTTTCAGAGAAGGCCATAAAGGCAGCAGAAGCAGTTAATACTGCTCCAGATGCATTTTATGTTCGCTGCCTTCTCAATTCTACCGGAATTGTTCTCGTCCCAGGCTCTGGCTTTGGACAGGTAATTAATTCATAATTTCCTACTCCATCCTTCCTAAACGGTGTTGCAATTTGTGGAGTTTAAGTTTCCTGATGATAAACGTCAATTTCATCCTTGTAATATTTGACTTGTTAATAATTACAGTTTATATATTTGACTTGCAAAATCCGAGTTTAAACACGGAAAAAAACTGAAACCCGAAATTGGCAAATAAAAACAAAATTTTGACCATTGATTAGTAGAACTGCCACAATGTTTTGGACAGATGGAGTACTTTTTACTGTTTACATAACAAGGATGGTACATACTATACATAAGAATACTATCCATTTTTTGTGAATTCCAGCTTTTTACTCTTGGTTTCTGTCATGCTGGTGAATGAATAGGTAAGAGGAACGTGGCATTTTAGATGCACCATATTGCCCCCAGAGAATAAAATCACGGCCATTGCTGACCGTATTGCGGAGTTCCATAAAAGATTCATGGATCAATACCGCGACTCATGATGCTGCATTGAGTTTTAACAAAAAAGTCCAAACCTGGTTTAATGAACAACTCCTCATTGGATGCAAAGGATAATTGATTGTTATTTCGTGTTATATTGTTAGCGTATTTGAAGATTCGTGTTCTCGGTCTGGCTGCAGAGTGTGTGACCAATGTATACAGCCTGAAATGTGGGTCCAAAAGCGGCAACCATATTGCAGGGCAAGGACATGCAGAAGAAGGGCAGACATGATTCTGGTTTCATTCAAATGTCCATGTAATTGAATCCTTAACTGGAAGTTTGGAACAATGGGTAGGGCAACCCCAGTTCATGTTAAATGATGATTTACGCTTTTTTTAATTCAATCTATATCCTTGTCTTCCATTTAATTGAACCAGAACGAAACCTTATAATAATGTCCTGGTTCCAAATCTGATCCTCAATTTATTAGTTCTAGTCCGGAAAACCAGAACATGGCCCCCCTAATGCAAATAAATAGTTTGCTTTTAAGTCTTTTTTTGTATAACAATGGACTTTTGATTGTCTCATTTTATTAAGAGTGCAGTTGATTTGTATGCTCTATATTATGTAGGATCAAAAAAAGTAGTATTTTTTCCAACTTATGTATAAAGTTACAACTTCTCCCCATTAAACTATGGATAATATATGCTTCTAATAATTTTAGTTTAGCCATTAAAAACTTGATTTAGAGATGAACCAAATGTCTCAGATGCTTTCATTGGACATGAACACTACTTTTATGATGTGTTTATGGGACACCTCTATGGCTCTACTTTAGTACTTCTGATGCTTAACCCATGTTGCGATTTAACTTATACCAAGTATTCGTAATTTCATACTCCCTCCGTCCCGAAATTATCTTCATTCTTTCCTTTTCGGTCCGTCCCAAATTTATCTCCTCTTTCCTTTTTTGATAAAGAATATGTGGTTCACGATCATTCTTACACATTTCTCTCTCCTCTGCACAACTCTTCACCACACAAATCCCACTATCTTAATCTCCGTGCCCAGTCAAAACCGAAGTTAATTATGGGACGGAGGGAGTATATGATATGTGAACGGATGTTCTGGCGTGCACTGTTACACTAATTGGGCATTGAGAATTGGATTAAGATGAACCTTTGCACTTAATAGACTGAATTCAAGAGATTGGACTTGTCTACCAGACTGATTCTAGCCTCAGGCCCTCAGCTAGGCCAGTATTGAGGTAGTCTCAATTCAATTATCTGAGCCCGCCTCACTCAGACGAAGTGCCGAACCCTCTCCACTCTGCAAGATGTGAAGTTTTCCCTTTTATGAAAAGTTAGTACCTGCTACATCTATGAAGTATAAACACCCCCACTAGACTGGAAGAGGCGACAGCGACATTTACATGTGCATTTGTATGTTCAAATCCCTTAGGTCCAGCTGCTAACAACTGTTATCCCATTACAGCATTACCCATTTGGGGTGGCGTGCTCTTTCAAGTGGGTGTGCTTAGCCCTGGGGTTTGGTTTGGAGCAACCCCATGGCAGGCTCTACAGTCATGTTGTGATGGGTTCCAGAGTTATAAAACAACAGATTCCATTTTGTCTCTGACAAATTCATATATGGTGGAACCTCAATGTAGAAGTGAAATGTGTTTATAAATCAATTCAAAATGATCAATCCAAACATTAAAAGGACATTAAAAGGAACTGCTTGAAAATTTTAATTACCAATATTCGCTAGTACAGATTGAAATGTTTGCAAATGCAGGAAGTAACCCAAGCGGAGCAAGGGAAAAGCTTTAAGATATATGTAGTTCTCTCATTGCAACCGACTAATGACATCCTCAACCTCAGAAGGGGGGTACAAATGATAAGTTGGAGCTACACGTGCAATATCCACATTATTGGGAGTCACCTAGTGTTAAAAGGATTTTAGGCGGTAGATATCTATTTAAGCAGTAAAACAACTGAAATGATGAAAAGTCGAGTTTACCTTTTCCTCCATAACCTGCTTGAGGATGGATAGTGCTATTGTTTCAGCTTCTTTCAGAGTGAGTTCCTGAAAATATAACAACAAAATGGTGGTTTGGAGTTTGGTTGGAGATGAAAATAAGAACATGGAGGAAACTTGAAGGAAATTAAATGCGGGGAAATTAAAAGTAGTCTAAGATTCAATTTTAGAGTTTGTTGATTCTTATTTTGTTTATTAGTGTACTGTGTACATAAACAATAACCAATCTAAATATATGTAAATATAAAAAAATAAAAATTAAGCATAGTTACTTTCTTTTGCATTTTCTATGGTCTAGACATACGGAAAAAAAAATTGCTTGACCTTTTTTAAAGGGAATTTATAATAAAATAAAATCAAAGCAAGAGAGAGGAGGTGTTATAAGGCGAGGAAGAAGAAGAAAACGATTACCATCGGTAGAAGGGTTTGATGTCAAAGAGTTTGAGAAGACTGAATGCCCAACGGTGAAAACAGGAGTAAAATAGGAAAATAAAAACCTTTAGACATAAATGCAGAATTCTTAATTTTTGTGCCCAAGTCTATATTGCATCTAAAAACGGACGTGGGGTTATATGAGATAAGTAGGAGAGAAAGAGAAAGGAAAGATATAAATAGAAGACAAAGAAGTCCATAATTGATGTTGCATGTTAAGATCAGAAGAGGGAATAAATGAGAGAGAAAACTTCATGTGTTCCATTTCTTCTCACCTTAGGGGAGAAAGACAAAGTGAGCGGGCCCCACCTAATCTCCCCCCCCCCCCCCTATGACAAACAAGAAAAATTCATGTTCCATTTCTTCCCTATTTGTGACCCGTTCCCACTCTATCAAAACATGCCATTATGGTATGCATTGATGTACAGAACTCCTCAGATGTCAAACTAGAGAAAAGGTACCTTGGTATACTGCTCCTGCAAAGAGCTGTCAGCGCCTTCAGAACCCGAACCTATAGCTTTTGCATTGCATTGCCAAAACGTTCCAGATGGATCTGTATAATACCTGAGAATGAAAATCCCCTCGTGAGTTTCAGAAGTGTTTGTAGTATCTCTGTCAAGCCTTAAGTGAAACAAGAAAGATATAGGCAGCAAATGCCAAAGTCGTCTTTCATGAATGAATTAAGCATCCCAAAAGGTATGTTGGATACATGAAAGAGCTACTTACAAGCTTGGACCATTCTCATCATGACCAGCAATGAGAAGAGACACCCCAAAAGGCCTAGACTGCATTCACCGAGATATTCAACCATTAAAGCTGCTTTTAAGCTTTTTTACATATTTGTGGACCTTTTTTCCATGTCTTCACCAACTTATATCTCTAGGAAACAATGACTTGGGGTGGAGATGAGGCATAGTTTAACAGCAAAATGAAATTTAAATTTGCGTGTAGCACTTATATTTATGAAATATACCATGCTTCTGGTTTTAGCAAAAGTTTATAGATTCATATTAAAATATGAAATATGTAAATGATATGAACACAGGAAGCGAAATGGGACTAATGGGTATTATGATAAGAGGAAACATCCATTAAAACATGGTCAACACAAAACTTGATCACTAGGGGACATTCACTAACCATTGATTCTTCATCACCCTCGCCAAACCGCAGGGCCAAATCACAGAGAGCTTGTGTAGTTGACTCGACAGTCATAGGTTCACCATATGAGAATCTATGATTCTAATTACAGAATTATAGAAATGACAGTGGAAATGCATAGTTAGTAAATGCCTAGCAATACATTTGTTAAATTACAAAAAGGAAAAAAACATATATCTGCAATTGAAATGGGGTACCTGAGTCTCAACACGAGCATGTTCTATGAGTGTTCGTGCATCAGCAATTAACCCACTCATTGCACACCCAATGTGGGAATCGATTTCCATAATTTTCTCGACACTGCTTGGTTCCTAAAATGTTGTGAAATCATAGCAAGATGACGCCAACATACTTTAGAATGAAAATTACATTTGATTATTGAATATTTAATAGTGTAAGCTGTATTGAGTTTTCGGCAATGAGGAGACTTTATGCAACTTGATCGAAATCATAAACGCTAAAGAAACAGAAAACAACAGTTTATTGTTTCAAATTTTATCTCCTCAGAAACATGGTTATACACTTATACTTCCCACATTCTCTTCTACCCTAGGAAAGTGAAGAGTCAATTACAATCAACTAATCAAGCATGGATTCTTCCGGATGAAATATTTTAAAAACTGTATAACATAAGTGTATAGGTATTCATATCTCTGTTAACACAAATTTGACATCTAAAGTTCAATGATTTAAAAACACATTTCCAATTGCAAGTGGAATTTCATCACTACTAAAATGCATATAGCATAAGAGATATTCAATTGCATGACTCCCGAATACATCCGCTGTTTCGCAGTCACAAATCTGGTCAATTTCATAGACATATTCAGGTAAGGCATTATGATGCCTCTTGCAAGGAGTTCATAAGAAATAGAAAGCATTCACGATTATAGGTAATCATTAATTAAAATCCTAGGTTGAAGTGTCAAACTATTAATATAGCACTTTAATACATCCTACTACAACATGAGCTCAAGTGTCATTCTTAACACAGGCTTAGAAGTTAGAACCCTCCAAGAAACCTAGGAACTAATGACACAAAGTAAATTAATAATACATAAACTCGTTTTCAAAAGGCATGGGGGCAGTCATCCCTGTGCCTCAAAGACGCAAAGGCAGAGAGAAAACGCCTATGGCGTGTTTTGTATAGCAATTTGTGCTATTTTAAAAAGCTATTGGACCTTGGATGCATGAACTTCTCTTTTATTTTCCCATTGCCATTCTAAATGCCAAAACAACCACTCACCCTAGTGGCCCAGTCATTCTTTTTACAAGTCCTGCCTTCTCAATATAGTGTGTTTGGTAGAGCTTATTTTGCAGCTTATAGCTTATACTAAACTCCATATAAGCCATAAAAATGTTATGAAAATAAAATAAAAGAATAAGAAAAACTCTTATTTGGAAAGCTATGTACTAAAGGCTTTCCATAAATAAGTACATAGCTTTTTATGTTTCCCAAACCCTGCGTCCATAAAACACGCCTACTGCGTGTTTTGCATAACATTTTGGGCTATTTATAAAAAGCTATTAGACCTGGGATGCATGAACTTCTCTTTTATTTTCCCATTTCCCTTCTAAATGCCAAAACACCCACCCTAGTGGCCCAGTCTTTCTTTTAACAAGTGTTGCCTTCTAAATATAGTGTGTTTGGTAGAGCTTATTTTGCAGCCTATAGCTTATACGGAGTATTAAACTCCAAATAAGCCATAAAAAATGTTACACAAATAAAATAAAAGAATAAGAAAAACTCTTATTTGAAAAGCTATATACCAAACGCTTTCCATAATAAGTACCTAGCTTTTTATGTTTTCTCAATAATAGATTACTCACCTAATTCTCTTACAAAAAAAACTTTATGTCAGATTATGACTCTATTCATCTATCTATTATCACTAGTAAAGTAGTAAGAAGTGTCTTTTTGGGCTTTTCTACATTAATCAGTTAATCAACCACTGATTTTACCAAACACTTCTGACACCATTTACAGCTTTCAACTTTCAGGCTCCTAGCTACTAACTTATCAGCTTTCAGCAAGAATTGCAGCTTTGCATGCCCAAA